ATTATGGACTCCACTTTTTAAATATTAAAAAGAAAAGTTAGAAAACATTTTACGCGATTGTTTTTATTTTATATGATTCCCGGATGAATATTCAAATTAAAGGCGTTTAAATAATCTAACACTTGCCTTCTTTTTTTTAAAAAAACGTAGTATTTAACCATATTACGTTTCTCATTAAATAATAATATCAAAAATAAATGAAATATTTACGATTTACACCAATTTAATATTTAGGTAAGTTCCTTGATCAAGTAAAACACTATCTTTCATCTGCACGACATCATTATCTTTCAAGTGTGTAATAGATTTCAGTGGGTGAAATAAGGTCGATAAAATAATTTCAGCTTCGCCGGTTTTAAGATAATTATACTCATTTGAAGCTCGCGAAAACTTGGATCTGAATTAAATCTATCTAAGTTTCCACCACTGCTACTTAGATATCTAGAATTATGACTACATTTGCTTTCTGCATAAGTATAAACATTTACTTGGTATCAAGTATCAACATATATCACACAACACATTATTTCACACAGCACATTTAACTATCGTAAATATATAAAATTCTAACTTAACATTTGAGCCATTCATTTTAATATAATCAGTTAACAATGACTAATGATCATTTAAAACTGACATCACTTATAAATAAATACGACGAATAAATTTATCTGATAATTCGTGGTTTTCCTTTGAGTATTTACTCTCAATTCAATGCATATGTTGGTTAGTTCCATCAAAAAATCCTCCACTAAATCAAATTTCTCCCAATACTTGTTCCAGGAGCTCCCTTGTCTTCTAAATTGAGTTCAAAATTACAAGGCTATGGAGTTAAGCATTAGTAGTAATAAACCCAAAATTGGATTGACTATTCAATGACAGTTATAAAATTATAAAATGATTATATCAGAGCCATGGTGGGTCTGGGAATAGAGCACTAGCCTCCTAATGAGGTGACCCAAGTTCGATCCCCAACGGTGGCTGGTTGATACGAATTCTGCTCCCGGCTTGCACTGACCACAGTGCTGACGTAAAATATCCACAGGGGTAGAATCCTTTTGCCGCCGTGCTAATCTTGAGAGGTTTTCTTCTTTTCATGTAACGATATAATTATAGTGATATTATCATTTATTTATTTAAAGGAAATAAAAGTTATCTTTCCCACTGTTATGCCCAATAACAGCTATATCGCTTTTGCTTAATCTAATAGCGTAAAGTGTGATGAACTTCGCGGTGACTTTACGCTATAAGATTAAGCAAAACACAATCGTATCAAAATAAAGATTAACAATAATCAGCATGATTTGACGTGATTTCTTGTAGTCCCTCAAAACCTTTTTTCTTCTTATTATTAATTTAGCTTTTTAGTACATAACTTTTTTTTATTGTTTTTTTATTTACATTTTTGCTTTACTCCCTCACTAATTGCTCTAAATAACTATATAGTCGATTGTAAAAAATAAATTTAAAAAGCAGCAATAGGACTTTTTCAGAACGCTGGGGAAAAATGCATTAAACTATAAGAGATTTAATAAAATAACATAATTTTTTTACTCTTTTAAGGCCCAAACCTTTCTTTGCCTCTACTTAATTCACTTCCAATGACTAGTGATGTGGCAGTTATAATAAATTTTATAGTATTCTAATTAGATTAAAATTGGCGGATAAATAAGCGAGAAGGAGAAAATTAAAAATTCATATATTTCAATTGTTTTAGAATTTCGTCAAAGAAAAAAAAATTTAAATATATGCCTATTTTTCAGTAATAATAACGTTTATGTCACTCAATCAGCACCTCTCTAAATAGTCCCCGTTCCCAAATTTTCTCCAATTCGACTATTTTCTGAAGAAAAAAAATTTTTTAAAAAAGAAAATTCTGTATGATAATGATAATAATGGTAACTAAGAAAATCAAATCAATTATAGTAGAGAAAAAAATAACCTTTCTTTCAAACTTTTTCGCCGAAATATTGATATTATCAATTTTTATCTGAAAGTAAACTTGTTCCAAAATTATTCCAAATAAAAGCGACGTCGCAATTAATGTACATAAAAAAAAAAACGTATTATAACTTTCATTTCCTTTAGGTAATTACGGTTTCGAAAGTTGCGTAAAAGTAATTAAGGCTATTTACCAATAGCCTTATTTACTGCATGATTTCTATGTAACTGATATAAAGGTGATTTTTCATAAATTTCCTCTTTACAATTTTCTTTTGGGTCCAGCCTTATGTTTAAACGTTCATTCAATTTTGGAACTCGGAGCAAATATTAAAATTTTTAATATTTTAACGGAAAAAGGCAAACACAAAACGACATAAGTAATAATAATAATGACAACTTAATGAGAGTAGAATGATTTTTCTATCAATATGGTTACAGCAAAAAACAAAAATTTTATAAAAAGAAAAACAATTATTAACAGTGTCTTAGAAAATTAAAATATATTTATATTACAATTTAAATTAAGAAAAAGAAATAAAAGAAAAAAAAACAACTATAGTTTGAGAAGTTACCTTTAATTAAAGTATTTTCCTAGATCCTCCTAATAAATGATTGTATTGATTTCAAAGATAAATTTTGTCCCATTAAATATTTAAATTCGACAATGATTTTCCTAAGGATAACGATTTCATAAATATATCTTAAATGTGCGATTTCATCTATTTTTATATTTAAACTAATAATATTCCGGTTTATATTGCAATACATGTATAGTGCGTTAGGAGTAATGAAGAAGAGAACATGATAATGTTCTCTATTGAATTAATTTTAGAAAGGGTTACAGAAAAATATGCATGTAATATATTTTTCAAGGAAAGTTTTTTTTTTTTTAATTTTTGTTTTACGGGTTCAATTTTACCGATTTCGTTCGAATTTCGAGTTGGATCATTTTTAACGGATTAAAATGGTGTTTAAATTTGAAAATTCAAATTCTTTTCAACTATTATTATATCAAATAATATTTTTAAAAAATTTGGTGGTAAATGTAAAACTTATCTGAAAGTGGAATCAGTTTCAGATAAGTTTTACACTTGTGCGCAAACAGTTTTTTTGCTTTCATAATTTCATAGATATGGCAAGATTCAAGCGGTTGAAATCCTTCGCTCATTTTTGTACCATATTTCACAGATTGTTACCTTGTAATATAGTTTAACCCTATGACGCAGAATTTTTACTAAACATATTTTTCATTCTTCTTCATCATTTTGTATTAATTTAGGTCAAAATAAATGAAAAATATTATAGTTAGAATTTTAATAATTTTTCTTTTAATTATTTCCTATGCCCACCTGTGTTAACATTTCGTCAATTCAGGCATTTACAGGGCAGATTTGTTGACCACTACCACTCTTTAAGGGGCACCATATTAGGTGGGCCAACGTTGTTCCCACAGTTAGGACAGATAATACAGAGAACGAAGGAACATCCATGTCTTGCCCGGGATTCGAACCCAGAACCTTTCTGATGCACCAATCGGCCATTTTAATAATTTATGGTTATGAAATACAGCATTACACACCGGTATCTTCTTCTGCGTTAAAGGTAAAATATTCATAACACGGCTCACTTTCAAAAAAATATGGAAATTATAAGAGTTTAATTGCAACATTTAATCCAAATCTAATTATGTCATAACAAAATGCATTTCTCGAATTCTAAGTTCGAAAAATGTTAGATCAAAAAGTAAAATGATTCAGAAAATTTTGAACATTAACTTGATGCTTAACTACCAAGAAAACATACCAAAAGAAAAATCAATGGATGTATCAATAATATAGTAACAGGATAGTAATAAATTGATAATATAAGAAAGTTTTTAACTTGTAGGTAACAGCCCAAGTTTTAAGCACTGTGGCTGTTTTCCCCTGAATTACCATAACTTATTTTAAAATAAAATTTAAGTATTAATTTAAAGTATTTTATAAAAAATTATTAAAGGCAAAGTTTTACATATTTATTTTTCATGTGAAAAAAAATTTCATTTAACAATTTTTGGTCTTTACATATCAGAAAAAAGTTCTCCAATAAGTATTGTAAATTATTTTAATTTTCATCTATTCATGTTTGCTTCCTAGCATATCATTAGTTCTAACATACTAGCAACTCAAAACGTGATCAAAAGCTTTATTTTTATCTTCAAATTATCAATGGCCAAATGCTTAATGATAAAAGGCATTAATCCGATGGGTTTAAAATTAGAAGAATTTAATATGACATGTGACTAAGGAAGAAGAAAAATATGAGAATCAGATATTATAGCACACCTCGTAGTAGGTTAAAGAAAATATCAGGAAATTTTTTTTTAAAAATCTAAAGTATTAGTGAAAAATTTTCTAGGAAACTGAAATTCCATTAAATTTTCTTGTGAAGTTAAGCTTAGACACGCTATGCTCACTCTGTTTAATGCTGAAAAGATACTAGCTTTTTATATTTTTCCAACAAAAAAAAAACTCCCTTTCTTAAATTTTAATTAATTTGTTTGAATTATTAATTTAATTTAATTTACTTTAAATCCTATGTTTCACACTATTTTAATTTCATACTTTCTATTTCCTTTTTTCTCCAAAAATTGCTATTTTAAAAAAATGAAAAGTAACCTGCTTTGTAAGTGGTTTTTTGCAAGATTTGAAACGTGTGTCACAGGTCTTGATTTCAAAACACTGAACATTTGATTTCAAAACACTGAAAGAAGTGAGAGTTCGAATTGTGGAGAATTTTAAAAATTTGTGATAAAATTTTTGTTGGGAATTAACCAAAAACTTTCTCGCACAAAGTAAGACTTTTAAGGATTTTTTATGGATTTAAAATGATTTTCAATTGTTTCTGGAAAATTTAAAAACTAAAATCAAATTAAAACACTGCTCAAAACATTTCAATGCCATTGGAGAGGCCAAATTTCCTGTTAGTTACCAAACACCTGATAATCAACAAGCTAAATATGATTCAAGTAAAATAATAATGAATAATGTAAATTACAACAACAAAGAACACAAAAGAAAAGATCATATAAGTTTATTTAATTACCAATAAACATTGAATTTTAGTGTGACTAGGCAAGTTCTTGTAAAATATTAAGTCAGTTAAAATCAACAATTAATGCTCGCAGCAGATTAGATAGGTACAAAGTTTAAAATACCAAAAATAAGTTATCAAATTTGCTATCTACTATACATGACTGCTTCACATACAATACAGTTTTTAGAAACAACGAATATGGAGACTTAGAATATACTATAAATAAAGGAACAATGATACACACGTAACTGTTTAACTCTATGTAAAAGCATTTAAATAACAGATCTTAAAGAAAATTCAGTTTCTTCAAACAGTGCCGTAAAGACAATTTAGTTTACTTTTTTTTAAAAAAAAAAAAACTCTGAATGAAAATCTGATATTACTTCAAAACTTGTGTCATTTATAAGAAATAAAAGAAGACAAATCTTCATAAGGAAAACAGTAACATGAAATGCAGATCCTAGAAATTGAGCTAACAGTTATAGCTTTTACTGACTTCAACCAAAAAGGTTTTATAAATAATGCCAATCATATTTTTATGTGACATAATAACTTTCAGTTATAATATTTATATGGATAAAGTACGGTACTATATAAAAATTCATATCTAAATAAAGCACAGTATATGCATACAAAACTATACACAAATGCAAAATTCATTTCAAACAAATGCAAAAAAAAAATAAATACAATTCATTAATAACAACCAAGGTATTTTAAAATTCTTCTAAACTAATAAATAAATATTTATCTTAGAAAAACAGATCAATGGCATATGATAGCAAACAGGATAAAGATACAGTTGTTAATAATATTACTTCAAAAAAACATTCCATCATATCTTACAAAAAAAAATTAGAAAAGTAGTGCTGTTAATTTAAGTGTAAAGTAAAATATTTTCTTAATAAAGTCTAAGCCATTAAACAATGGCATAATGGTCTCTAAATGACTAAACCATAGTCTTATAGCCTCAAAAATATTAAACAATAGAACAATAGTCTGAATAACATTTAATTTAACCATATTCACTAATGGTATTTCAAGACTGACAACTAATAGAAAAAAATTTATTTAGCTGATGAATAAAGAGAAAATATGCCTTCTGCCTTACTTCAAAAATTATGTAAATCAAATCCACTCAGTAATCTTTTCAATAACAAAACAGTTATTGTTAACTTTTTAACCAAACTGAGCTACTACAATTGAAGAATTCATTTTTATTCACTGCTGATTAACTATTGATACAATTTACATATTCAATTTAAATCACACATACACACCAATCACAGAGGAATTTTGAAATCTGATTGAAATTCTAAAGTTGATTTGATATGTGTTATTTGATTTTATATTCCAGAATTTAAATTGGCAAAATTACATTGTAAAATAGTTTTGAGCATTTTGATAAAACAAAAGTATTAAGGCATAAAATCAAAAATTAATGTATTTCCCAAAAACAATCAGTCCAGAAATAAATTTAGGGGGAAAATATTTAAATTTAGTTATTTAGGATAGGAAAAAAAACTGTTAAATAAAGGTAAACAAATAAAAAAATATTTCTGCCTACTACTAACTATTACTATGAAAAATTTTATTTGTGTTTAAAATAAAATTCAGTTTATGATTGATTCAAATGAAAGCCACAAAATGAAGAATATATAATTATGAAAATCTGTGCAGTTTTTAAAAAGGAGAATTCGGTATTGTTTTGAATACATAACAAAAAAAATTGCAAAGTTTAAACCCTTCCTTCTCGCTCCCGTGAAAATGACGGGGTGAAATTTCGTCCGCTATTTCTCGCTCCCGTAATTTTGACGGGCTGGAGTGTTCAGTAGTAACGCGCCAATGAGAATAAAACTAATTCATTTCCTTCGCACAGAAAACATTTCATTTCTCATTTTACACACCTGATGGCAGTACCAGGATATTTTTAAGGTAATTGTAGATAGTTAGTTTATTTTAAACTAGTTGCAGCACTAATCAAATACATAATAAAACATACATAACAAATCAAATCATAACAAAAGCCAAAAAAATAGACACTTTTATGACCGTTTTCTTGAAAATTAACTGATCGTTAAGGGGTTAAAGCAATTTATATAGGATTTTATTCTAACTTATAGACAAAAAATATAACAATCTCATAAAAACAACACTTAGTTCATTATTCGTATTATAAAATTAGCTTGATCAACTCATAAATAAAGAAAAGCTATTTTCATATGAACTCAATTCTGTGTCTGCCCCTTCATGTTAAAGGGCACATAGGTTTTCAGTATTTAATTTTTAAAAAATTACATTTAATTCGGCTTTCATCACAAACTGAATACAATTTTTTACTAAATATAGACAAGTAATTTTATGATTGTTTGTTGTTTATCTATATTATATTAATTGAGGTTTGAGCAGCCAGTGGTAATAGAAATTTGGGGTGTTAAAAATAAAAATATTACCAACAGATAGTTCCTAAATTACTGACAGTTTTTTTTTGTATAACAACAAACAGCACCAGTAAACTTGTGATATTAACAAATGTTAACAGTGCATAATTGATACATTTACATAATTGAGTAGTCAAATCTATAAATAGGAAACAGTTATGTACAATTCAGAATTCAATAACTTTACTTTAAATAGCAAATAAATAAAAAAATTTCTCATTATATCTCCTGCTATTACATAACATCTAATTCTAAAAGGCAAATATTTTAAAATCAAAGGCAATTCCAAATACAAAAATCATTAAAACTGGCAGAAAGCAACATCTGATCTAGGAAAACAAAAATTGCACAAAAAACAAATTGACAATAAAAAATGTAAATGCCCAATTATCAATGACATACATAGCACATTAAAGACAGAAATGGTATACAAAAGGAAGCCGATAAACATACCTTACAATAAATATGAAATATAAATTCACTTTCTTAAAATGATTTAAATCCACTTTAATTTTACATTAAAAATATTTAAGAAAAGCACTAAATTTGGCAATGGATAAATCCAAAAAGAAATGTTAAAGTCATACTTATATATAACAAAAATATATTAATTGAATGTAAAAATTATTTTGAAACTGAAAAAATTTAGCTTTAGTGAACATATTACTCACTTTAGCAACAACAAAAAAAATATGCATCAGAAAATCTCATTCCTTTACAGACAAACTTGTTTACAGGCTAAAAGTGATTTCAAAAAATAATATTAAATTACAAAATTAAGACTCAAAATTTCAATTATAATTTCAAAATGTTTTAAAATCTCATTAACTTAAAAAATACTTTTACAAAAATTTAACGCAAAAAAGAAAAGAGACAGCACTTCAAATATTCACAAAGTAGCTTAAAAAAGAAACAAAAAATCTTTCAAAAAAAGTTGAGGTGTAATTTGGACAAAACTAAGACATACATATAGCTGCAAGAAACATGCAACACGCTTTACTGACTAAGCAATTTTTTTTTCAGCTTTGGTTTGGCTTAAAACAACGAAATGAAAGTGATGTACCAAAAAGTATATGCAATTAATTGAATGTATGGTTTAATGGCACAATTCAAGTAGGACAGATTGCACCATAAAATAAAAGATGGAAAAACTTGTTTACCTTCCTTAAAATTACACGATTCAATTATATATAAAAATTATACTAACCTCAGTTCAAGAGTTCTTAGCATACTTGTCAAGTGTTCCATTAAATATATTTAAAAGTAGATGTGATTCTGACTGCATAAAAAAATCATAACTAAAATACTGCATAAAAATAATCATATAAAGAACTGAGAATAATATTTATAGGAACAATTACATATAATTCTAGATTTTATAATTAACTTAAATGTTTTCGGTCATTAAATTAATATTAGATTGTACTTAAAATAATACAATAATATCTACAATAACTATTTTACAATATTTAATAATCATAACAATTTATAAAAACGTTATGTTTCTTTTTACTTAGCCTACATATAATGTGTTTTATGTTTAAAGCAAAAGAAAAATTATTCCTTAAATAACAGACAAAAAAAAGAGCATTTCAAAAGCTCTTCTGGTGACAATAAACATGTTTATTGACATGTAAATTCTAAAAATTTATGTAATTGGTACATCACTTAACAAGTGGGCTGAAAAAAGTGAGAAATGTATATAAACATAAAAAGAAATATTTGGCCACTTTTATTTTATCCTAAAATTCTGAACATAGATTTTTTCCCTGTAATCTAAATGTAACAATTATTCCTTACTGTTTCAATTTACTTTAAAAATGAATCAAAAGATACAAAAAAATTGTCATTTGCTTATAAAATAACACTTAGTTATTTTTGAAATACTTTTAAGAATAATGATATAACTTCTTTACAAAGATTTTTTTTTTTTAAAATCACTAAATTCAGCCCACCTCAAAAGATTTACAAAACATTTCAGAAATACAAAGTATACAATGCAATCAAAATGATTCAGTATGTCATGACTCCATCTTGCATTTTATATGTTGTACTTTATATATATTTTTACACTCTAATGTTTAAAACTGTAAAACTACACAAGTTTGCACTTTCTTTGTTGTCTTTTCTGAGGTTCTGGACGCAATACTGCTCTAACTGCTTCATCAAACACCTGAGAGAAAGTTATGTTTTTATTAAATTTAATAAATTTAAAAAACTGTTAAAACCTTACAAATCAAAAAAAAAATTAAATAAATATTCGATTTTATCAATCTATAGAAAAATGTTTTGAAAAATTACAATGTAACATAGGAGTGATGATGTTTTGTTGCACATTTTAGGAAAGTTAACTTTCTTGCACCTTTAGTAAATATAAACAACAGTGCTCTTTGCAAAAATCATGATGGAATTGTTTAAATATACAATGCCAACCAACAAACATGAAATGTTACTGTTAGATTAGAACTAATTCATTTGCTGAGACGATAAAATCATAAAGAGGAATTAAAATTGTTATTTTGAATGAAAATAGAGCTTTTTTAAAGATATTATAACAGGCAAGAAATTATTACAACCAAATGAAAGAAACTAATTAAGTAAATAAAAAATTTAACATTTTTAATACTTCTTAAATATGAATATTTTAAAAACAAAAATACTTTTTAAGATTTTATATTTTTATACTAATTTTTAGAAATAATTTAACAATATAAAAAATAATAAAGTTTATTAACCCCTTAACTTAAAAGCCAAAGATAACTTTGGCTTTTTCAATCTTTAATTGTTATGTTAAAGCAGTGTTTCCCAAAGTGTGGTACGCATACCCTCAAGGGTACGGGAACAGTTTAGCGGGGGTACGCATTCTTATGAGAAATATCTTGCAACAAACGGAAATATCAAAAACTTTTATTTAAAGACAAAGCTAGTCATGAAAATTTACGATTATGTATTTTTCTATTGGCTATTTTTTGCAGAGTTAACAGTTAATAATTAGTGGTGTCTACAGCCAGTTGTGATTTTTAACTTTTGTGCAATTTTTATAGTAAAAAATACATTCATGTTTTTATTAGTGGCACACAGCATTACGAAAAATTTAAGAAAGGGTACACAAAAGTCATAAGTTTGGGAAACACTGTGTTAAAGGATTAAAATTGTTACTCATGTAGAAGTTTTGAAATAAAGCATGTGCAAATTAACATAGTACTAAATTTTCTTTTATGAATAACAAAAAGAGCTTCTATAGAAATTTTTTAAAAAATTATTATTTTATTATTTTAAGCTTTTTTTTCTTAATTTTTTTGTCCTATGTCGTTGTTCCTGTTTTTCAGTGGCACCATCTAAGGCCAGGAATTTGACTTTTGTCATGCCTTTCACGCAACCACAACCCGTTTATAGGACGGGTCACATTCACACACAAAGGAGAAAGGACATAGAACACACAGAGAGAGAAAGAAACATCCATGCCTTGCCCGGGATTCAAACCCAGAACTTTCAGATGCAAGGACAGTTCCCTGCCCCCTACACAGGCCGGTCGGCATTTTAAACTTTTGAAACAAAAAATAAAAAATTTGTTATTGCACACAAATGAAAGATTTAAACTTTAGATTTAATACCTGTTTAAGGCCTCTTTGTGTAAGAGCTGAACATTCAAGATATTTCACTGCTCTAATTTTTGATGCCAACTTTTGACCCTGCTCCCTTTTAATGGGAGATAAGCTTTGCTCTCCTAATTGTTGCAATGTCTCTTTATCTTCTCGCAAATCAATTTTTGTCCCTAAGAAAAAACAATTAGACACCTCAAAAAAACAATATGTATATATCAAACCTATAATTGTACAGATTACTTATTATTTATATTGAAGACACTGGACATCAAATAAATTAAAATAACAAAAACTAAAATGTGACACATGCATATCTTTCTTAAGATTGCTTAAGAGGCAAAGAGAGTCACAAGTGAAATTAATACAATGGAGTCAATAATGATAAGACAGAATATTCTGAAAGATTTCTTTCTAGGCAGTTTGGGAACATCAAGAATCTGGATAAACTATAATCATATTCAATTTGAACATCCTAGGAATATGCAATGAAATGATTCACAACTCTGACCAAATAAATATGAGCCAAGACATTTTGTACTTAACCTGTTTTAAATTTACTTGTTATTCATTAGGAAACAAGAGTAAAACAATACAAACACAATTATATAAACCAATTTTTTAATCTACTTATTTGCTTAAATCTTATATTAATGTCAGAATTTCATTTACAGATCATATAATTCTAAGATAATAAAACAAATAAAATTCATTTAGTTATATTTTGCATAAAAATATATATTAGTTCTTCCTTTTGTTTAGGCGATTTGGAAACTTCAAGAATATTTTGTACTTAACATGTTTTAAATCTGCTTGTCATTCATTAGGAAACAATAACTAAGCATGACAATTAAAATCATATAAAACTAATTACTTTGTTTACTTGTTTGTTTAAATCTTACTTAAATGTCAAACATTTAATAGCAAGATATATAGTTTTAAGACAGCAAAATAAATAAAGAAAGAAAATTAATTTAATTAAGATAACTTAGCTTTTCTCTTGAGTTAAACTTATAAACACCTTCAGTACTACTCGGTGCATACAATTTTAGGACAGTAAATAGATAAATAAAGAAATTTATTTTGCTATATTGTGTCTAAAAACATAGATTGCAAGTTTCTACCATGATATTTTTTGATGCACAATTTGAGATCATATATTCGAAAACAAATAAGAAAAACAATATGCATTGTAATAACTAGTCATATACAAACTTACTAGCAATTTTGTTTGGTTAATAGAAAAAAAAAATGCTAAATAAATTACATAAAAATTCTAGAACAATTAGAATATTATTGGAAAAAAAAATATTAAGCTAAATTAAATTTTAACTTATTATAATTTGCTTTAACACATTTAAAATTGTTGCTTCAAATTCAAAATCTATTTAGACGTCAAAGTATAGGAAAATTCAGTAAACAGTTACAAAAAGCATGAAAAGGAGGGAGGACATATATGATTTTCAATCACAATTCTAAGTTTAATAATATATCAAAAAATATACATATTTCGGATGAAATAAAAAATTTTGACAAAACTTTATAGGGTATAAATATATGGTTAAACAGGGTACATAGCCAAATTCTTCAACAAAAAATAAGCACCTTTTAAGTACTTTAATTAGGACATACGCACTAATAAACGGATATGCGCACTAATAAAATTTTTCCCTCGTATTGTTGAAAATTCATCATGTGTATGTTAACAAAATGCAAAAAAAAAATTCAAAGTTGCATGATCATAATAAAAAAATTAGTTTCTGACAAAGAATTCTCTTCTTGATTATATTAGCCACCATAAAAACAATTTATGTACAATTTTAAATATATTCAATATTGAGTGAATCATTCTAGTTCTTAAATTAATAATTTACTTTACACAATTATGTCAAAAATCTTTATTCAAAATTATAATTAATTTAACAATTATTTAAAAAAGTTATCAAGTGTATTTTTTGGATTTGAATAAAATTACTTAGAAAAGCATATTCAACAAAACATTATATAACAAGATTACTATTATTGATCATACTGAATTTATAAAGATGTGTAAAGAATTAAGCAAAATAAGAAAACTTTAATTTAAATAATTTAAGAAAAAAATCATTTATATTTAAAATAAAAAAATAAATTAAAATTTAAGAAAACTTTATATAAATAACTATAACATCATCATACACTCATAATAATTAAAAAATCTGAGATAATTGACTTTTTTATTTCAGTATTTTTTAAATGTGATCATTAAGAGTTGAATTAAAGTTTTTTTTTAATGACAACTCTGAATACCACAAGAGTTTTTACTCATTTAAAACAGTGAAAGTCCCTCACCTCATACTTTTAAAATATCTTGCCTATAAATATTATGTAATTCCTTTGTAAAACAACTTAAAAGTAATGAAAATTTTAAATGTAATAATGCAATGATAAAAAGTAATAAGTAAAGAAAGTAATAAAGTACAATGAGAGTTTATAAAAATGTAATGCATCCGTGGACGGTCCTCAAGTAAAGAATCTAACAAATTAAAATCTAAATTCATTCTTATCTTTATTAAATTAAATGAATAAAAGAGAGACGAAGATTTTGAGATGAAAGTTAGCGATTATTTACTACTCTGGGGACCCACATGAAAATATGTAATTAGTGAATGAACCCCAAGTTAAGTTCAAGGATTATGGTATTGATCGATAAAGAGAAGAGCGCAAGAAGGTCATTAGCTTACCAGTGATGAAGACAAGGGTTCTTCACCAATGATGAAATTAACAAGAGAAATTAAATTTTCATTTGCTTTTAAGGGGCAAAAATTGGCAATGTTTAGTTGGTCCCTTTGATTAGCGAAAGTTCAAGAGATCTTCAGTTCAGTTTCAGAGGGCAGAAAAGGACGCCTGAAATTCTCTCTTGCAGAATGCAGCAGAGTTGCTCATGAGAAAACAAGAATCCAGCTCAGCAAGTGCACATGTGGAAACGCAAGTATTTCATCAAACATTTAAAATTATAGGCACTTTCATACGCTACTGACCAAGAGGTATGGCAAAATGGATTGTAGTTGAATGAATTGTGAAAACATTAAATAGAACCATGTGAAAATTTCATTTTGGAAAAGGGGAAATTAAGTACTTTTTAAAAACACCCAATGAAAAAAAGCATCTTTAAGAGCTTTCAAAAAACAAAACGCCAAAATAAGCACCTTTAAATACTTTTTAACAAAGCTACACACCTTGTAAAAATTATAATAAATTATTACTAAATAGATTCCATGACTGGGAGCAATTTATCTTAAAGTGCACTCTTTACCTAAAAATGCAAACTTAAATGCTTTATTTTCCAGTACTTACTATTTGTACTTTTAAAATACTTATTATCAGTTAAAATTAAGATTTGTTTTTCCATTAAGTAGATTTTGTTTGCATTACTTTTTTTAGTACCATTTAATATCATGCCAACTTGAAAAGAGTCACGTACTGAAGGAAAACAGTCGCCTACATTCCACAAGTGATGAAACTAGAATTGAAAATTTTGCAATGAAAATTCTGATATAAAAAAAATTTATTGAAAATAGGAATTTGCTTACAAAATAAATGATGTGAAGATATGGTCAATGATTTAATTGTGAAAGATCTACTGCAGTAAAATATATAACTAACTGCATAAAAAAAATGTCCCTCTCATTATGTCACGAGTCCCATATTTTGCGTAATCAGTTGACTATACATAGAGACATTAATTTAGCTAAAAAGGAGGAACAGAAAGAAGAAAAAAACTAACTGCAATACTTACCAACTAAAATTATTGGAGCATCTGGGCAGTGATGTTTAATTTCAGGATACCATTTAGAAGTAACATTTTCAAAGGAAGACGGACTAACTACACTGAAGCATATGAGGAACACGTCAGTCTTGAAAGCAAAAATAAAAACGAAGTTAGAATAATAAACAAATTGTATAAGACAAATCATTTTAGCTTATCAAAAATAACTTTCTTATTTGCACTAGGGGATTTTATGTTGGATACCACAAACTAGACAAACCCAAATTCCCAGAGATTTTCACAGTAACAAGTAAAATTTAGAAGTTTCACGGTTTAAACTTACACTGTTTAAATTTGCATATTTTTAAAAGCAATATGTATACACACAAGGATATGCAAACCCTGAGCATCAAGTCGCCATGGCCCCTAGAAAATCGTTGCTGTGCCAAATATTTTAAGAAAATATAACATAAAAGCAAGTTGGTAGGGCACTAGGTCCATGTCCAAGAGGGCGTGGGTTCGATCCACATCGGCCGAAGACACCCCGTGTAGTGAATGGTGACTGATGCACGTTTAATCTGTCAAGTCACAAAGTCCTCCATGTTCACATAACAAATCATACCTCTGGGGGTACTGATCCAGGAGTTTCCTTTTCTTCTAGATTGGTTCAAAATTACAAAGCTACGGAGTAGAACATTAATAGTCGTAAACCCAAAATTGGGTCGGATGTTCAACGACTGTTATAAAATAAAATAATAAACCTATATTTATGTTTATTGAGAATTTACAAACTAATTATACTTTATTTCATACCTAAGTTTTTCATGACATTTAATTAAAAATCTTAATTTGATAAAATCATTATCAATTTTATGCAAACCTCAAGATAAGAACTAATAATCAAACATGTTTATAATCTTAACTTTTTAAAAGCTTTAATTAAATATGTAATAGAAAATATGTAGATGTAATAGAAAATCATACAGAGTCATCATTTTTGTAGGAGGCAAAGAAAAAAGATTCCTGTCTGAGAATCAATAAAAAAGACAGCTATCTTTTCATCTGTATATGTAATAGAAAGTTTGTACAGGTAAGAGTACATATAATATTTGTACATGTAAGAAGACATCTGTGTTATACCTACTGGAAGAAAGCCCGTGTAAGTTGACCACTTATGATGCATTGCTTTAGTGGTTAACTGAGACAGGTGGTCACCTTATAGAAGGGGATGAGTCATTTTTTTTTTTTTTTAAATTTTTATATAATGTTACTACTATGTCACTTTGTAATAACTGAAAATATCTAAATAATATTACATACACTAACATTTTTAATTGATTTTATTTTAGATATTAGCTTCTATAAGAGATAAATTTAATAAACTGTAATAGATACAAGAAACATATGAATTTACCTGTGGGTAGGATAGAGGCCTTAATCTATCGTAATCTTCCTGCCCAGCTGTGTCCCATAAGCCTAAACTAACAAGTATTCCATCACACATCATTGCTGCTGAGTAATTATCAAACCTGCAAATAGCAAATTATATAAAACATATTAATGCTGAGTGTCTGATTTTGATAGTGAAGTTACTAAGATATCAAATGAAATGAGTTTTAAATTATTTTTTTTCAATTAATACTTGAAATTGAGATTTTGAAGCATTTATTTTTTAATCCAAAATGATTGCTTTAAAAGGTAAAATAGTGTGTAATAAAATCAAGATATCCAGAACCTAAATGTATTTAAACTTAAACCAATATAACACACAATAGTATATTATCTACTGCAACCATGAATAAGTTGTTAAACCTTAAACATATTTTTTTATACCTTTTTCACTGTTTTGTATTAATTTAAATCAAAATAAATGAAAAATAATATATTTAGCAATTTAATAATTTATGATTATGAAATACAGCATACAACACAGGTGTCTTTTTCTGGGTTAAAGGTAAAATCATCCAAACACAACTCATTTCAAAACAATAATTTTTCAAACTTGCACTTATATACAGTTATTTAGATACAATTATTCATCAATGAAATTTTTTTAATTTACAAAATCAATTATTAAATCTTTGAACATGAATGAGAGAATTTTTTTTAAACTACTTTTTTTGGATTTTATACTTTAGTACAAATATAATTCCAATAATCTAACCGATTTTTTTTTAGTATCTATTAAACAGTTTTTTACACTTAATAAATACCAAAATATATTTTTGCTTGTAATTAGAGCATCAAAAAAGAAATATATAAAAGAGACACTGTTGTCCCATGTGTCAAAGGCTAAGTGCAAATAACTCAAAAAATATAAACTATAATGTAAATGTCTCAGTATACCTCTTTTTTATAACTAGTGGACTTTTTTAAACTTATTTCAACGGTGTAAAAAATATTAGTCGTGACAATAATTATAAAAGAAAAATGCCTCTAGAAGTACCTAGTCAAAATCACTTAGTACAAAACCTGAATAAAATAACATCTAGTGTGGACATAGTAATATCTCAGATCTAAGAAACAAAGTATGACAGTTATGACTACCTTGCAAAAAATTTCTCTGAAAATGAGAATGAATCATAAAATCAAACACATATGAAAAAACACTTAGGTTATTAATGTTCCACATTTTTTTTGGATGATAGTAAAAAAAATTTTTATGCAATCAATGAAAATGATGCTTTATCAACTATTTGTAAAAATCACACTCTTTACTAAATAAACTAAACATTACTGGAACCACAAATACAAAATAATCCTTAGTAATCTACGACACTAGTAACCAAAGGGTTATCATACTAACACAAAAATATGAGCAAACTAACTAAAATATAATATTCATAGACATTGCAGCCTGTAATAAATAATCTATAAAAATAAAACGTTTTAATCAAATGAAATAGATAAATATGCAAAAAAATAAATAAAAATATCAGTTAGGTTTCTTTTTTATAACATTGCTCTTGATTTTTATATATATAT